AAAATGAAGTAATATCATTCCTAAGTTTAGCTATCGTTGAAGGTGGAAAATACTTAACTAGGAATTTTTGGGCTAATTCACCCTATGTCCTAATTGATCTAGTGCTAATGAGTTTAACCACATTTTGGCTTTATCTCCCAAGAAAGAGGAAAAAAGCCTAAGTTTGCAAGCGTCATTTGATATGCTGTTATAACAAAATGTAGCGCAAAGTTCTAAAAAACATGCTAAGTGTAAATTTGGATCCTCTAATGGATATCTCCCAAATTTGTTATTCTGCACCATTTGGATAATAACGGGGTTATGTTCAAATGAGTTAGCTTCTATGAAATGGATTTGAATACTTAAGTGAATTACATCTGTCATAGGATTAGTGTAATCTCTTAATGGTTTATGTGTGTTATGATGATCATTAATCGATACTTGGGTATCTAAGTTGATTTGTTAACAGTCATTCTTCTACAAGCTCTTGAAGTCTTTTTTGAATTCTATTCCTCTTAATAGTTCTCTCTAGTTTTAAATCGTAGGGTTTAAGTCCTTTAGATCCCGAGCTATGCATTCACTAACTAAAGACACACTTAATAAGTTTCACAAAAACACACTAACAAACACACAAAAATATTTTTAGAATTTTTTTATTTTTCAAATAAACATGCAATTACACACAAGAATAAACAATATAAGTTTCCAAGTCTAAGTCTAGATGGTTCAACTAAAACTCTCTAAGGTTAACTACACTGCCGCTCCGTGACAACAACGCCAAAAAGCTTGATGTGAATTTTAACTTAAATCCAGGTGCACTTGCACTCTAGGGCCTTATGCAAGAGTACATATCTCTTTTGTAATATAGAGCTTTTGAGTCAAGGTTATCAAACCCACAGGGAATAAGATGTTTAAGTCTAGGACAAGTTCTAGCTTACTAAGTTTGTTCTTAGCTTGGAAGTAAATTAATTTGAAGTTATGCTAATTAGTCCTACTAAATTTCAACCTTCTCGTAAAGGTTTACTCATACTGAAATTATATTGAATATATTTTGAATTGGTGACAATCAATTTGTAAAGCTACCTTCCCTTATAATGATTTAAGTGGAGCGAAGGAATTAAAAAAGTTACAAACTTTAAATGAGGCTAGTGTCAAATAGGAGCAACTCTCTTTTGTACCCTTTCCCAAGTGCATAAATTTTTTTTGGCTAAACTGGTTTTAATTCCTTAAACTCCAATTTGAACCCAACAAAGATTATTTCCCTAACATTTGCATCTCCTTATCTCCTTATAGTGTTAGTGTGCTTGCACCATATCCTATAGATTAATGTGAATAACCTAGTTGTTCTACCATAGCTCTCCCAAGTCATTATGAATCATAATAGGTTTAACTAATCATTTGGCCATAACAAAAAGTAAATGAAGACTTGAAGGTTACTCATCATATTTACAATTTTAAAAACATTTTTAAAAACATTCTTTCAATCCTACACTACCTACTTAATCACCACAAGAGAAAGGTAAAAAGTATACTCATAAAGTATTGAGAAAACACCACAAAATATCTTTGAAAATAAGTAAATCCACTATAGAATTATGTTTACATAAAAAAATATAACAGTACACGATACTTAGCTTTAACACCATACAAAAATACAAATCTTTTGATACTCCTCCCAGGATTTCCTTCTCCCTTGCTGCTAATCTAAACACTCTCCTTAAAATTCAACTCAAATTCCTCACCATTTACTCAAGAAATCCAATAGTAAATCCCTTTTCTCCTTCACCAAAAGACTCACTAAAGACTAAAAAATGACTCATTTCTCCTTCTTCAAAAACTACTTTGTGGTGTTGAATAACCTCTACCTTCGTGTGGAACAACTACTGAAAACTGCTCATGTAGTTTCTCGTGCCTAAGCGCCACAAGGACAACACCTAGGCACCAAGCTCTCTATCTACAAATTTTCACATGAGCACCTAATGCCCAAAAATCTGGGGCCAAGGCACTGGGGTAGTGGAACTTTGGCACCTACTGGCTAACATTTGGGCGTCAGCCTCTCATTTCCCAGCTTGGGACTAACGTCTGGGCGCCCAAGAAATCTGGCGACGAGGCGTTGGTCCTTTGTGTCCTAAAAAACTCCAATTCATCTCTACTTTGCTTCATTTCTTCTCCACTTTGTTCCACTTCTAATATCTGTTGTACCTACAAGAAAAACATAAAAATACCTTTATTTAAAGTATAATTTCATTCATAAACAAGTGCAAAACAAAGAAAACTAAGAAATCTTTTCTACACATCAAGGTTCGACTTGTGCAACTGGCTGCGGTGTAACTAATTTGTTAGAAGAAAGATTCATTTTGTCGAATACTAATTTGAATAGGAAGTTTACAGAACTACCCGTATCAATTAGGACACTAAAAATTTGGTAGTAGGTTTCAAAGTGAAAATGCCATTGAAGTCATTAAAGCACTAAACTTCACAAAAAAAAATAGCATTTGTGAAAGTGATTGGTAGCCATGCAAAATTCTTTTGATCAGAGCTTCTTCTAACTGGCATTTTAGAAGTAAGAATCATCTTCTCCCAAAATTGATGGTACCACCGTGCAATGTGGATGACATTTGTTCTAATTGGTTCACCTGTTACCTCCTCAGTTGGGGTCTTCCCCTGCTTCTGGGTAGCCACTCCAAAAGCTACAAACTCCTTGAGCTTCCCGACATGTATCAATTCGTCAACCTGACTATTGAGGTGCCTAAACTCCTCTGTGTCATGATCGCTGTCTCTATGTTCTTGATAGAACGTTTTTGGAAAGCTTTGGTTTTTATCAGAGGAGCGTGCTTGAATTATTCTTTATTCAGAATAGCCTAAACAATCTTGACCATGGAAACCCTCAAAGGGGCAATGCTTGTTGCTTCATGATCACGTGATGACCGCTTATAAAAATGAGGTGACTACTGGTCATGATTCCTTGTTTGGCTTCCAGGATGGAGGTTTTTCCAGACCCCCTTATGATCTTGAGGTGGACGATGATCTTCGTACCAGGGATAATTGGAAGAATGTGGGTCGTCATTCAGCCTCAACCAATTGTCCCGTGAGGCTCTCTTTTGTGGGTGAGGATCTGATGGTTCAGGTGTATGGTGGAAGTTATCCACACTTTCTTCGCCTGCTATGTCTGTTGTCCATCTCCAACAACTCAGATAGGGTATTTCACTGCAATAGGCTTAGGTTGTAACAAAACCTCGCTCTCCTTAACCCTTGGGTCAAGACAACATGCGCCACTCCAGCTCCAAATTTTGTACATCCAACATATCCTTCTTGAATCTGTTTAAGTAACAATAGAAACTCTCATTTTACCTTTACTTAACCTGTCATAAGGCTTATGTGCTCTTCTTGTGATTTGGGGTGCTAAGAAAATGAGCTAGAAACATTCTACTGAAATCGATAAAATAAGCAATCACACCTATCTAGAGGCCATTGAAGCACTTGAGGGCTGACACCCTTAGTGTGGTATAAAATAGCCGATATTTCAATGCGTTGGTGATCCTGAGAAGGTAGAAAAATGACCCAAAAGATGTGAGAAAGTCAGCCGAGTCAATCTGATCCTTATATGACTCCAACAAAGGTATCTTGAATTTCTCTAATGGATCAACATGAGAAATTTGCTGGGAGAACACATTCTCCAGTTAGCGATGGTCCTCAACACACATGAACCATTGTTTAATCACAGTGTAGACCCATCATTATGTTGGTACTGAGACTTTGCGAATCTTTCTAACCCCAGAGCCACTCGGGAGCCTTGGGGTTTGATTCTTCCTCCTGGGGTTTGGGCCACTCAATAGCCTTGGGGTTTGGATTTGCTTTTGAGAAACTCATTCTCTTCCCCTTAGTACTACTTGGATTAATTCCACTATTTGACCCAATATTTGATCTCCCAGTTCTTGAATCTATTGCTGAATAAAATCCCTAGTCCAGTCCAAATTTCTCGTGTTTCTCGGATGAGTTTCTTCTCCATGTTGTGCTCTTTTTATTGGTGGCATGATTCAATGCTCACGGTACCTTTTAGGATGTTGAATCCAAATTTGTTATGTGAACCACACAAGAAATAAAACATAGAACAAAAGAGAGCGAGAGAGAGATTGAGTGCACAATAGATTAAAGCGTATAGAGTTTTTTTACCACTGATTCATTAGTCTTTTTCTGTAGAAATGACCCTTTATTAATAGGAAAATGGGGAAACAATAGACATAAATATTTGCTTTCCCTTGCGTTTATAGAGGGCCTACAGAATAATTTAGTAAAATTAACGTTTATAGAGGGCCTACAGAGTAATTTAGTAAAATTAAATAAATACATATTTAAATACACACATAGATGCTTAAATAAATAAATAAGTTTTTAGCTTGATCCTTTTGTTGATCGACCGTTTACGGTTGATAATCTTCGAATAAATAAGAGGCTGCTTAGTGGTCTCTATTAGGTCTAAATGATCGGTAGATTGAGTTCTTGTCGGTAGACTGAATCTTTGACCGGTCGACCTTCGTTGGCCGACCAACTTTTATAAGTTCTCGATCATCTTTGGATTCTACCTCAAGAGAATTGAGCTGATGGGCGCTCTTCGCTCATTTATGTGCACATTAATCGTTGGTGGGCCCCCTTTGAACACTTCCTTTTAAATGTCAAATTTACTCGAGGCTCATGGTGTCATGTTTTAGTGTGGAAAATAATTAAATTTAATTTGTTAGTTTTACAATAAAAATCATATTTATCTTTAGTTATAATTTTATAGTGGATTTTCACTCAATTAATAAATTCATTACTAAGTGTTAAATGTGTGAAATAATACAAGCGTTGATTAAAATTTTGGAGATTTGCATTCTTACCACCGAATTCTACTATACTTACATAGTTAACACCTTAATTAGCACAACGAACCATGACAAATGATTTGCAACATTGTACACGAATATTAAAGGAATTTAAGCGCTCAAAGCCCTGTCGGTACCTTTTGTCTTTGCGCAAATGGTGCATTTGATTATTCCGGGTGATATCTGGTCAGAAATGAATTGAAGCAGCAGCAGAGAGAAATTGGGGGCCATCTGCTCCTGGAGTCGCAGGGCAGGCGGGGATCGAAGATTGTTCGGCTTCTTCCCCGAACTAACTTAAGGGGTTGCAGCAAGCGGCGAGGGAAAGCGAAAGATACATTCGCAATCCGAGAAGAAGCGAGTGCCAAAGGGTGGGAGAGAGAAACACAGGCGGCCTCCAGAATCACCGATCTGGGAGGGTTTGAAATGAACGAAGTGCTGACGATGCGAGAGATCTCTTCCTCTTCGTCTGCGACGGCTGGTCCATCCCCTCCGTTACCTTCAACTTCGAACCTCCCATTGCTCTCCGCTTTTCTCGCATTCTCTGTTGCCCAATTCCTAAAGATCTTCACCACCTGGTGCGGACATGCTGAAGTTCGGTTATTTTCTTTGCGATAACCTGACTGAGCTTTCTTATCTGATGGGTGGGAAATAAGCGAACCTGTGTGTACTACATAGAATCAAAGCTCCTCCTTTGCCTGGTTTCTTGGAGATTATCTTATTGTTAGTATGCGTTTTGATGGATGAGTTAAGCATTTGGCTTTCCTTAACGGTCAAAGCTTGGATTTGGAACAGCATGCTTTTGTTGTGAAGGCTCATTGTTCGTATATATTATGTTGGGAACAGCTCAAGGTCTTGTTTTCCCTATCCACGCTGGGAATCAATCAACGAGCAAAAAATCGGCGGCACTTCGGGGAGCAAAGGGCATCTTCGGTTTGGCGTCTCAAAACTCATAATTTTCAGATAGTTAAGAGCTCACAAAGTCATGCAGAATCTGGAAGGGTTTATTGTGTTTATCGGAAATTTGACATGTTGAACTTCTTGATTTTTAGAAGGCTTTCTTCCTAACAAACTGAGGGTTGAGGGAGAATTATGTGCGTGCATGTTGTGAACTTTATTGAGGGACTTTGTGATTCGTCATTGAAGAGTCCTTCTAACTGATCATAGCAGCTGATAGCTTGTATCAGCGTATGCACACGGAAATATTAGACATAGGGTTGCACCATTGTGCTACTGAGAAGGAAGACTTAGTTTCCTTAGGGGTCATTTGGTTATGTAGAATTAGAATCCTTGTTGATTTTGAAACACAATGAAGTTTGCTAAATCCATCATTTGATTGGAGGCAATTATATACTGTAACATGTAGTTTTTCACACCTGATCATGAGCATACATGTGATTCTGATCATTGCCAAAATCTCATGAAGGATGAATGATTCCTTGGAAGACAGGTCAAGTTTTATTGGTCGTATGACATAGTTAGGCCAGACTCTTTGGCTTGAAAACCTGTTTGAAAGGAATGTACATCTGAATTCAAAAAATGTACTGTCCAAGGCGGCAGGGCCTATTTTGAGTTTGCTCATAACATCAACTTCCTAGACTAATTGTGACTGTAACCTTCTCGTCCAAATATGATTAGGGCTGTCAAAAAGCTTGTTCTTTGCCAACAATTCATGTTTGATTCAATCATTTAGCAAATGAGTCGAGCATAACAATTTTTTAGCTCAATTTATAAACGATCATGTTCGACTGTCGAACATGAACAAACTTTTGTTTGATCATGTTCGACTCATTTTGGATTGAATTAATTAAATAATAAATAAATAATATGTACAAGTTAATATATTATTATCTTTCATAAGATATCAAAGATTTGGTTTGTATAAATATTAGAAATAAAATTTAGGTGTTAGATATTTATATACATAAGAATTGAGTGATATTTATGTAAATGCCTCCAAAATTTTTAGTTATATAAATAAATAAGAATTGGGTGGTATGTATATAAATGGCCCTAGAATTTTTCGCATTTAGATGTTAGAAATATAATTACATTAGAATTGAGTGGTGTGTTTGTAAATGCCCCTAGACCTACCCTCTACCCAACCTCGCCCCTTGCATTTAGGTCATTAGGTGTTAGATATGTAAATACATATATATTGGGTGGTATGTATGTAAATATTCTTTCAATTTCTCGTCAACATACTCCGCTCTGCCTACCTATTAGTCGCACATTGGGAATTTTTATTTTTTAAAAGCTGTTAAAGTTCAAAAAATAGTGGTGATGTTGTTTGCTTTATTATTCATAAATGCATAAAAAATGGCTAGTTTCTAGGTTTTCGTAATGATAGATTAATTTATTAAAGTCTCTTTAATTTCATTATTTAGTCAAACATTATGTAGGCAAAACTCAGCTCCATGAAAAGCTAAACGAGCTTCTCCATTAATGAAGCTCGATTCTAGATCAAATTTGGGCCAAACATGAGCTAATTCAAACAAATAAATTTAAATTAAGTCGAGCACAAATATGCTATTTACGAGCTATTTTGAACACAAGTTTATTTCAAACAAAAAATTTAGAATGAGCTGAACACAAACAAGCTCTGGGCTTGCTCTAGCTTGGCTCGTTCACACCCCTAAATATGATATGACTAATCTAATGTAACTCAACAAACCTCTGACATGGTTGGTCAAATCTTTGGCATTATGTTGTTCTATTAGAACGTGTTCATGATAAGTGTTGTTATGATCTTCATAATAAACTCCATTTGTCCTGCATTTGAAAGGGCCCAACTATAACAAACTATTCTGAGATGACTCATTCAAAAGATATCTCTAATTGTAGCATAAATCTTCTCTATTGCTTCTAAACTGGTGGTTCAATGAAGATATGAATTATCATGTATTGACAAAATTGAGAAACTAATTTAAATTATACAGGACAATGTGCGTCTTAATTATTTTCTAAATAAATAGTCATGAGATGCTCGAATCACAACTTATGTGAGGCGTCTCGCCTTATTCATATGTTGTGTGCAATTTTTAAATAATTAGTTATGAGGTGCTCACCTCGTGGCTTGTGTAAGCCACCTTCCTTATTTATTAGCGCCATGTACAATATAAAATACTTTTTTTAACAAATTGTTAAATTGAATTAATAAATTGCTAATTCAAATGGGCACGTTTGAATTTATAATTTCTAATTTGGGTGGGATTATTTTCTTACTTTGGTTGAGGATAGTAGAAGTGGGATGGATAGTTTAATTGTGCTAAAATTTTTTTGAATTATTATGTTATTTCATCTTATTTTGATAGTTTGTTTTACCTTAATTTTGGTATAGCTTTTCCTAACGGTTTGATATTAGCACCTTAATATGTTACTTTTTTACTTTTAAGCAATTTGTTATTTTTCACAATTTTAGGATAACAATATGTTATTTTTTAATATGCTAATAAGTTAGAATGTTAATATATTATTTCTTGTTTTATATTTTAAACTTGGCACAATACTTATTACTTTGCACAATCTATTGATTTGAAGGCGTGCCTAGATACTTAGTTGTGCTTTAAGCCTTAAAATGATTTTTTTCGTGTCTTCTTTTCCTTCATACATTTCTTGATGGCAGTTAAGGTGGAATTTCTTGGACCATGTTGATGGTCTTATATAGTGGACTCCCCTATCATTGCACCATGGATATATGCTAAAAAATTAAATGACATAAATTTTATCTTCTTTTGCCAATCTTCTTCTCTCTCTCTTTCTTTAGGTCCACTGACACCATATTTAGAAGTTTTTATTAGCCTCATCTTTAACTAATGTTTCTCCCCTTGAGCCCAAATAAGGTTCATCCTCTCATCCTGACGCCACATGAAGTTATTCCTATGACAAAGTAGGGTTTTTTTTGTCATTGACATTTTTTGTTGCTCTTATTGAGATGCTTTACTTAAGAAAAATTGAGCTTTGGGGTGTCTTGTGGCATCTTTGTTCATCATCATCCTGTTGATAATTTTCAACTGCTAAATGGGTCATCCTAAGATCTTCTCACCAACAACTTCCTTGTTTTCTCTTTTGCCAATGACAGTAGGAGATAACGTAAATAAATACTCAATGGCCCTCACAAAGAGGTCACTATAAAATATATATAAGTACTATTCGCAACATCCTACCACATCATGCCCCAATTTTCTCTTCTCCATTAAAACTAGAGGAGACTATGGCAAATGGCATTTGTTCTCTGCTAATGCATTTTTGGTGACTTTGATGAATTGTTTACTGCAATAACTCGATCATTTTCATTTCTAATGGTAGCACAAAGGACCATAGCTTAATCTATCACCACAATTAATGTCTAAGTTTTCCTCCAAACAAAGGAAGAGTGCCATGTTTCTTATTCCAATAATTATTGATAATCCAAAGTTCTATTTTAGGAGATGCTTAGAACTAGATGATGTCCATTCCACACCATTGGATCTAGTCATATCAATGATATTGGTCACCCTCCCAAGATAGCCCCCCAAAAAACTACTTCAAGCAACTTAGCTAACACTCGGTCACCATAACAATTCAACCTAGAAAATTAGCCATATCTTTCTGTCAAGCTAAAAGATTGGAATAATCATTTAGCATCTAGGCTCTCACAATCGCAGATTGTCACTTAAAAGATACAAGTATTATTTATTTTTATTAGTTTCTCTCATTTTAACACTGCAATTGCAAGGTCCCAGGTCATGGATGCAAAAAGTGAAGGGTTACAATAGGTAGTCGACAACCAATATAAAATTTTTGTCGAAAAAATATTACATGAAACTTTTAAATCCTTGTATAAATGCTAGGGTATCATCTGAAAGCGACACACTGTATGATCTGAATACAGTTAAAAAAGTGCAAGGGCCGCTACACGGGTGCTCAAGTGTATTGTTAAATAAACAAAGATTCTGACATCAGAGACAAATGTGAACAAAGATGTTAGTTCATGAAACTAATTTTAGGATAAGATCTTAAATTGTAGGTACTCTCACAGGTAAGTTAATTGAATTAATAAATCTTTTGGTTCATAGAAAGATAAACATCTTATGTGTTCAAGAAACTAAATGGGTTGGAAAAAAAGCTAAAGAGCTTGATAGCTCAAGCTTTAAACTTTGGTTTTTAGGTAGTATTCATACTAGAAATGGTGTAGGTGTAATTATAGGTAAACTTGAAAGATAATGTTATAAAAATTAATAGAATTCGAGATAGAATTATAGCTCTGTAAATTATTGTTGATACTAAAATTTTTAATATTATAAATACTTTTTCTTTTCAAGTAATTTTAGATATAGGTTTAAATAAAAATCTTGAATGACCTAAAAGAATTAATTTAATTAATACCTCTTGATGAAAGTTTTTTTCTTGGAGGAGATTTAAATTAATATGTTGGTAGAGTGGTAGATGATTTAAGTAATATTCACGGTGGCTAATAGTTTGGAGTGATTAATGAAGAAGATAAAACCATATTAGATTTTGTTTTACCATATAATTTTGTTATTGCTAATACTTTATCTAAGAAAATCGATGAACATATTATTACTTATAAGAATGATTCTAAAAAAATACAAATTATTTATTTTCTTATGAGAAAAGAAGATTGTCGAGAATGTAAAGATTGTAATGTCATTTCAAGTGAAAATTTAAGTACTCAATATCGATTATTAGTTCTGAGTTTTTAGATGAGGAGTTGTAAATTAAACAATATAATGAAATTTTCTCCAAAATTAGATGGAGACACCTAAAAGACAAATAAAAATATACTTATGAGTAAACTGTAAGGTTTTAAGATTTGTGATGTTTATGAAGAAACTAATTCTATTTGGGATAACGTAACAAGTACTGTTGAAGAATTAAAAAGAAAAAAAAATTATAAATAAATATAGTTAGTGGTGGAATTGTAATGCGAAAAAAATATAAAATATAAGTTGTTTATAAAAACTGGTTTAAATGTAAAAGCTTAGTGAACTGAAAAAAATGTATGGCGACCCATAGAGATTCTAAGAGAACAATTTTTGACAGTAAAAATTATGCTTTCAGTGATCTTTATAATATATAAGATACTAAAGAGGGTAAATATATATATATATATAAACTAGCCAAACAAAGATAAAAGAAAAGTGAAGATTTAATTTAAGTAACGTGTATTAAAGATGAAAATCAAATATTACTTTTCTTAGAGGAAGATATTCAACATAGGTGGGAGAGCTATTTTGATAGACTTTTCAAAGAAATTTTTGAAAATACGATCGATCTTAGTCATCTTAATATCGCTAATAAATATAAATTGTTTTTTTTACCTTCGCATTAGTAAAAAAGAAGTTAGAGGTGATTTTTAAGAAAGTCAATGTGGAAAATCAGTAGGACCTGATGATATCCCAGTTGAAGTGTGAAAATATTTAGGAGATTTTGGAGTTTCTTGGCTTACTAAACTCTTTAATATTATTTTAAAAATTAAAAAGATGTTTAAGGAGTAATGTGTATTAAAAATGAAAATCAAATATTACTTTTCTTAGAAGAAGATATTCAACGTAGGTGGGTGAGCTATTTTGATAAACTTTTCATAGAAATTTTTGAAAATGCGATCGATCTTAGTGTTCTTAATATCGTTAATAAATATAAATCGTTTTATTTTTACCTTTGCATTAGTAAAAAGAAGTTGAGGTGATTTTAAAGAAAATCAATGTGGAAAATCAGTAGGACCTGATGATATCCCAATTGAAATGTGAAAATATTTAGGAGATTTTGGAGTTTCTTGGCTTACTAAACTCTTTAATATTATTTTAAAAATTAAAAAGATGTTTGAGGAGAGGAGTAGAGGAATAGTATTTCTCAGTTTTAAGAATAAAGGGGATGCACAAGTGTAGCAAATTATAGATGAATTAAATTGATGTGTCATACTTTAAAATTATTGGAGCGGGTAACTGAACATAAGTTATGACGTGATACAAAGATTTCTCATAATCAGTTTGGATTTATGTCGGACAAGTCTACTATGGAAGCTATACATTGTTTGAGAGGTTTGATGGAGAAGTACAGAGAGAGTAAGGAGGATCTGCATATGATTTTTATTGATTTAGAAAAAGCTTACAATAAGATACCAAGAGAAGATTTGGAGAGTTCTAGGGAAGAAAAGTTTTGATATGACTTATATTCAAGTCATTAAAGATATGTATACTAGAGCTGTTACTTGTGTTCGAACAAAAGGAGGATTGACCAAGTATTTCCCAATTTCAATGGAATTACATCAGGGATCTGCTTTAAGCTCATATCTTTTTGCTTTAGTTGTGGATGCTCTTACCCACAGGAGGATGTAGCTTTGTGTATGCTTTTCGCTAATGATATCTTTCCTGTAGATAAGACTAAAGAAAGAGTTCAGGAAAAACTTAAATTATGAGGACTACATTGGAGTTTCAAGGCTTTCATTTGAGTAGATCTTAAACTGAATACATGGAATGAATTTTAGTAATCATAGCTCTTATGTCATAGTTGTAACTATGAGTGATCAAATTTTTAAAAGGTGTGAATGCTTTTTATATCTCGAGTTTATTGTTCAAAGTGATTGTGATATAGACGGGGATGTTATTAGTATAACTTAAGTTGTTTGGTTGAAGCAGAGGAATGTATCGGGTCTATTGTGTGATAGAAAAGTACCGCTTATACTTAAAAGAAAATTTTATAAGATGGTGACGACCTGCAATGCTCTATGGTGCATAATGTTTGCCTTTAAAAGAGAAGCATAAAACAAAGTTTAGTACTGATGAGATGAGAATGTTTAGGTGGATGAGTGGCTTGACACTTAGAGACAAAATGGGAAATGAATATATTCGTGATAGGGTTGGTGTAGCTCCAATGACGAACAAGATTAAAGAGAGTTGTCTTAGATGGTTTTGTTACATTAAACGTCGATTACTTGATGATCCTGTTAGGAGAGTAGATGTTTTAGATTTGACTTGTGTTAAGAAAGACAGTGGTATACCTAAAAAGACTTGGGCATATTGTATAAAAATGATCTTAATCTATTAGAATTGAATAAAAATATGACACTCAATAGGATACAATGGAGCAAAAGGATTCATGTAGCTGACCCCACTTAGTGTGATAAAAGCTTGTTGTTTTTGTTGTTGTTGTTGTGTAATTTCTCCAATTTTTCTGATTGGTCTAGCCAAATGCTTACTTGCACGCCGACATGCTCTGTTTATTGAACTAATGCAGCAAGTTTAGTTGTTTATCCACTAGTTGTGTAGAGGTGGTTTTTTTCCCGACCCTATTTTCTTTAAACAATTCATTGGCCACATGAATTATTTAACCATTACTCGATTTGATATTTCTTTCTTCGTTTAATAGGTTAGTCAATTTATTCAAACTCCATGTCATTTATATTTAGTTTTCTTTTGTTGTATCATTCATCGTGGATTGCCCTTTCCAATTGGTTGTTCTTTTCAATTTTATGGCTAATAGTGTTGCTTATTGGGCTGGGGGTTTTAATACTTGTAGCTATTTTGAGCTAGTACATGTTTCATGGTGAATTCTTCATTTTGTGGAAGAGTAAGAAGCTTTGTGTGTTTAAATACTCTACCGAGCCTGAATATTATGCAGTTTTATGGCTTATTTTTTGATTATCTAATCTCGTTGACTTCTATATGAACTTGGTTTTTCATAGAATAATGCCACTCCTTTCAAGGTGAACAATACTAGTGCTATTCAAATTGCTATTTATCTTATTTATTATGAGTGCAAAAATCATGTTGAACTGGACAATCATTCAATTCAGGAAGCTTTAAACATGTGTATTATTTCTCTTCCTTGTATTTCCACCAACTTTCAAATTGCAAACTGAAAGGCCATGACACAATAACTTCATTAGTTTTTTGTGCAAATTGTTTCTTTTGAATAACCTAACATCAATTTGAGGGGCTATATCAGTTGTATATATTGTAGAACACATAATGCTAAAACCAGCCAAAATTACATTAGGATTCATGCATTGCTGCTGTTACTCATGCAATTAATTTTGTAGAATCTGTGTAGTTAGGTTATGTGGCAATAGATATTTGCTTTTGGGAATAACTGGTAAATCACTTATAGTAGATCTGATTGTTGTAATTGCTGAAATTCAGCATTGTAACATTTCAACTATTTTCTTTATAATGGTAAGAATTAGCATTGTGAGGGCAAGGAATTTGATTGACGAGTGATCGCCTTGAAGAGTTGACGAGAGAGCAGATCAAAAAATTTCTCTTTGGGTAAGGGACGATCGAAGTTGCACCAACATGTTAATGGATGAAGTTGCACTAACATTTTAATGGATTAAGTGATGCACAAGGTTTCCCTTGTCAGACGGACGTTGAAGACAGATGGATAGAATGATTGCAAACTTGGTGCTGACGGTCATAAAGAAAAAGGAATATTCATATATATATACCACTCACTTCTTATCTATTTACATATCTAACACCTAAACTTCAGTTTTTACATATATATGTCATCTTACTTCTGATTGAAAAGTTGTATATCACTTTTTAAATATTAAAATAGTGGTATATTTGATGTGATATGAAAGATAATGTATTAAAATAGTGGTATATAAATGTAAAAAATAATGTTTAGGTGTTAGATATGTAAGCGCATTAGAATTGGGTGGTATGTATATAAATGCCCCAAAAAAATTGTTTTTTTCATTGATATAACATCCAAATGTTGTGGTTATGATGCTTAAGTTTGCCAAAAAAGGGGGTTTTGGATAATGCTGTGGCCTAAATGCATAGCCTGCCAATCAAGTGACCAAACCAATTGTCAGGGCAATATGAACTAAAATGAAATCTTCTGTAAAATATGTTTGCAAATAAGGTCTCAACCTTTGCTCTTGATCCCAATCCAGCTGTAAAATTAACTATTATGAACATTATGAGAGGAGCTTAGTATTGGTAGGCCATGCAACTGCCCATGCGAATGAGAAAATATGTTCCTAACTCGACCAAATCACTATCCAAAAAATTGTTTTTTTCATTGATATAACATCCAAATGTTGTGAATCTGATGCTTAAGTTTGCCAAAAAAGGGGGTTTTGGATAATGCTTTGGCCTAAATGCATAGCCTGCCAATCAAGTGACCAAATGAACTAAAATGAAATCTTCCGTAAAATATGTTTGCAAATAAGTTCTCAACCTTTGCTCTTGATCCCAATCCAGCTGTAAAATTAACTATTATGAACATTATGAGAGGAGCTTAGTATTGGTAGGCCATGCAACTGCCCATGCAAATGAGAAAATATGTTCCTAACTCAACCAAATCACTATCCAATCCCACTGAGAATTCACAAACACCTATTAAAACCGAAACCGAACTGAAATATGAGGTCTGGTTTAGGCTCTGACGTTGATGCTCTGTCATAGACATCCCTAATGCAACAATTTCTTCTATTTTCTACTTCATTGCTTCTGTTTATGATCATTATGCTACTTGTTGACAGCATTATGTAAACTAACTTCTGCTAAGTTTTTATATCCATTCTAGACATGCAGGTTTAAGGAGAAAAGGTGGGACTCTAGAAGGCTGCTTGGCTCAGGCGGAATGCCTTCATCTCATTCTGCAACGGTGGTTGCACTTGCAACGGCAATAGGATTGCAGGAAGGCACAGCTGGATCTACATTTGCTCTTGCCATTGTTATGGCATCCGTCGTATGTACTTATGGATGTGACCTTCATTTTTCATTCCTTCGATTTTATACATATTTATATATTTTTTCCTTTGTGTGACATATTTAGAATCACTTTTGTTTATTAGTCCACTTGGTTTAGCATTGTAGCTGAAACTTGTTATAGAATTAAAACTGGTGATCACCTTCTTTTATGTTGTTTTTACTTTTGCTGTCTAAGTTAATTGCTTTTTTTCTTTTGTGATACATATATTTAGAATCTCTTTTCCTTATTTAGTCGACATGGTTTCGTATGGTGGCTGAAACTTGTTTGTAGATAGACTTAAAACTGGTGACCAACTTCTTTTAAGTTTTCTTTTGCTGCTCAAGTTAATTGATAGCACTTAATGTTTTAATTTTCATTCAGAACTAGCTTGACATTTTCCTTAGCTGTTGAGGGGGTACATTGTTATCTGGAGCTTGACATTCTCCTTAGCTGTTGAGAGGCTAATATTGTTATTTGGAGTAAGATTATAATTGTGACTAGGATTATGTAATTGAGATGTTGGTGAAATAAATTATTTGAGTTATACTTCTATGTGATTTCAGCTTTTTATGGATCCTTGAGGATTTCTCTCTCTTATGTTTTAAAGATTCAACTCCTTAGCTTGAGAATTTCACTCGCCAAAATTTTTAGGAATCCATGTCAATAGTTAGGATTAGCTGTTTCTTGCTTTTTCCTTGATTGTTCTCTCTTTTTCTCTGCTAAAATTTCTTTTTTAACATTTCCATACCCTACTATGTAGAATAAATTATGTGCATTCTATCAAGGATTTGAAGCATTTAACTTTTTTTTTGGCTACTTTGTTTTTTCTTCCTTTTTCTCTGCTGACAGCTATTTGCTTCTAACTCATAGCCAAAATCATCCTTTGATTATCTTTTCTAATGATTCATAGGAAATTGAAATTTTAAGGTTTATTTTAATCTTTAGAGATTAGATTATAAGTTTTTTTTTCAAAGCTTGAATTTGAATCTAAATTCTTAATCCTTTTCTCAAATTTTTTAAAGCTCCTAGGTACATGGGGTGTGAGGGTGATTGAGAATGGAGTAGAAATTTATCTTTCTTTTGAAACTCTTATATATCAATCCGTTATAGTGTGCACAAATTGGTATAAACAAACACTAGAACAATATTAGGTGATGTCGCACAAGACTTGTTATCACCTAATGATTAATGATCTATTCATCACTCATGTAACAATGAAGCTCATGAGGTTAATAAACTTCCTTTGTTTGATGAGGATAAATTCATGTTGGTGAAATATGGATACAATGCATGCATTAGTAAAATCTAACTAACTCTTGTATGATATGTGAAAGGAAATTGCTCTTTCTCTAATAGCATGCATGATACCAGAGTTAATCCAAATCACAATAGGGAAAAATAAATATTATTGCTGAAAACAAATAGACGATTACTGTCAAATACACTTGAAAGGGGAAAGCACAACAAATATTACTTAAACTCACACTAGGGCTTGATCCATGAGTGTTGAAGGTCGGCTAGGTGGTTGGAGAGCGGAAGTAGGTGTTTGAAATTGGTTGTGGGTTGTTGGGACAACAAATTGAGGGGCTAGAATTGCGTTGGCAGTAAAGTGGAGTGCTGCGATAGCGAGGGACAGTGTAGCAAAAGAGTTGTGCACTAGAGGACAAGTGAAGAGGACAACGATAGTGAAGGGGAGGATTGCGACAATGGCAGCAAGTTGGAATAAGAGAAACAGATGGCCAAACATTTTGAATAGCATAAAACAGTCTGGAACGACTGTTTTCGGGCGAAGCTAGTGAGTGGGAATGATGGTGGCAGTGAAGGGGAATGCATGGGTCTACAAGACAGCCAAAGGAGGGCTGTCGCGGGGCTGGAACATTGCGGATGATGGCTGCACAACGAGGAACTGCAGGAAGAACAACAAGGGCTGCTATTCGGGGCGGTTGAAGCGATGGAGGGTGGCTGGGAATGACGTGGAGGGATGTGGATGGGGATAGAGAAAATAATCACCACCTCGGGAGAGAGAGGTATAACTAGAGGACAATCTAAACCCTCGGGTACAACCATTGAAGGGAAAATGGATGCCGACGGCTTTCCCTAAACAGAATCATAAAAAATTAAATCTAGAAGATTAAAAAACAAATATATAGTAAGGGGGGTAGCAAGGAGTGGCCCAGGAGGGCCGAGTGACTCCAAAAAAGCGAAAATGGACCGATTCAGTCCATGCACGAACATGACAAAATGGGAATTGAAAATGGGAGCTCCTGAGTAGCTCCTGCATCAATGCATCCATCGAAATCTAGTTTGTATTACCAACAATTGCAATTCCCTCTCTTCATCAAAATGATTCACCATGATGAATTCAAGTAATTTGTGATACAACACAAAAGACAAAATATTCCCATGAAAAAGCTAATAGCATATAAAAGTAAAAAAATTAATCTAATTGGGTGGAAACTTGAGAAGTCTTAGGTGATTTTCCTAGCCGACTAGTCAAGTTTTAGTGGGAGATTTGATTGGAAACCAATTTGAAAACTGCTTGATTTGTTTTTATTCCTTTATTATTTATGTTTTGTTAATTTTTTATTTCTGAATTATTTCTTTTCTTAATTTAGGTTAGATAAATTGGGTAAGTCTGTAAATTAGGAGGAATTGGATCCTTATATATATGTACTCTACTTGTGAATAATATGATTTCTACATAATATCAAAAACCTGAACCAAAACACTAACTTCTTTGCCGCTGGGACCCACCCCTTCAATCCCTCCATTAGCTAGCAGGCTAGCCGAAAATCTTTTCTTCCCAGCTTCCTGGAAGTCTCCTCCTCTATTCCTGAAAGGAAAGCTTCTATGGTCTTCCATTCTTCTTCCTAGCCGGAAGTCTCCTCTGTTCTTCTGGTAGGAAACCTTCTATGGTCTTTCCAATCGAAAATCTTTAGTCTTCCCAGCAGGCATTTTTCTGTGGTCTTCCTAGCCGAAAATCTCTGGTTTCCCTGCATGCCCCACTGCCGAGAACCATTGCCTACAATTCTTCCCAGCAGGCAATTTTCTGTGGTCTTCCTAGCCGAAAATCTCCTATGGTTTCCATGCATGCCCCACTGCCGAGAACCATTGCCTACAATTCTTCCTCTGACAGAATTCTTCAGTAGCAACATACGCAATGCATCAACAAAAGTAGTGGCAGAAAGTAGCACCAACAGCGGATACAACAATTAGTAGCAATAGCCAAAATCTTTCTTTTAGCTTCCAGAATCCTTCTTGCAACCACTTGTTTTCCTGTAGGCACTTTGTCGGAGCTTCTCTCAGTAGCATGCCCTCCTTGTCTCTCCTGTCGATGTTTCCCTGCTGGGCCGTAGTAGGGATCTTGTTGCTCCCTCTCTTTGGAGGAAGTCTCCTTGCAGCTAGAGCAACCCTCCCTGTTGGCCCTCCGTCGGAGCTGCTCCCTGTCTCTTCTCCTGCAGTTTTCCTGCAGGGCCGTCGTAAGGGTGGGACTACTGTGTTGGTTGGTCCCATTGAGTTGGATTGTGATATTATGGTGGGTCGACAAGATGGTGGTTCTCCCTGTTCTGTTGTTGACCCAGATTTGGATGATGATAATGTCATAACTATTACACATACGGCTTTGCAGGATGTTACTGATGCTTAACTAGCTAAAAACTTGAATGAGATAAATGCTCAATTAGAAAATGAATGGCTTGCTCAAAAATCAAATAAAAAAAAGAGAAAAGGAAAAATGAACTTCTACATCTAACTGAAGGAAATATAATTAATGGAAATTACTAATCTGATGGGGATCAGATGCACACCCTAACTATAACTTCTAGGAGGGGTGTGCTAAATCATCATATTTAATATTATGGTCTGGAATATTAGGGAGTAGCCGACTCTCATTCCTTTAATAGATTTAAATTTTTACGTAGGGTCCATAAACTTTTTATTTTTGCTTTACTTGAACCTTTGGTCTCTATTAATAGAGACAAATTTCAGAGGAAATTTAAGCATTACCACCACTACTGTGATAAAAATAATAAAATTCGGGTTTTTTGGTTTATCAATTGTTCAATATGAGGACTAATTTGTACTTTGCTTTTTCAAGATGGAGGGCTTTCAAAGCTGGGCCACATTTGTTTATGCTAGCTGTTCTTTACAGGATAAATTTACTCTATGGAATAAATTATCTCTCATGGGCGAAACAATCATGAAAAACTGGGTAGTTGGTGGAGATTTCAGTATGATGATGAAACCTTATGAGAAGAAGTGAGATGGAAGATGTGACATAACTCTTATAAATAAATTTTGTGATAAAATCTCTGATGCAAGTCTCTATGATATAGGTTTCTCTGGCACTTCTCACACCTGGAGAAGGGGCTGCATTTTCCAAAAACTTGATAGATTCTTTGGTAACTAATATTTGTTAAATTACTTCACAGTTTTCAATGTGCAACATCTTAACCATGCTGCTTCTGATCACGATCAAATTCTCTTATCCTTCGCTTTCCTTAATAAACTTCTCAAGTACAATTTCAAAATTTTAATTTTATGGGCTTTTCATGATACTTTTCTTAGGCTTATTAAACATGCTTGGAGATTTGAAGGAGTTGGTTGCTCTTGGTATATACTGTGGCAATTGCATAAAAAGTGGTTTCTCAACTTAGGGATTGGAACTAATAAGTATTTGGGAATGTTCATAATAAAGTACTGGAAGCTCAAATGTGGGTCGATTCTCTATAATCTCAGATCTATTGTGAATTTGATACTACTGATGAACTGATTTTTACTCATAAAAACCTTTTTGATGCTATCACTATGGAGGAAAGGTTTCTTTAGCAGAAAGCAAATGACATTTATTTCAGTGATGGTGATAGGAACACCAGGTATTTTTGTGTCACCATCAAACACAGAAGGAAGGTCAATGCAATTATCAAAATAAAAGACATGAATGGGTGTTGGATCACAAAACAAGATGAAATTGGTAGGAGTGTTGTGCAATATTTTGCTGATATTTTTGAGTCTTCAATGCAGGTCTCTCCTATTGATTCAATTCTTTTTATAGGAGGAAAGGATTGTATCTCCAATCTTTCCTTATGTGAACCTCCCTCTGAGGAGGAAATTTTCAAAGTCTTCTAAGATATAAACAAAAACAAAACTATAGGTTTTGATGGATACACTTTTGAGTTTTATATCAAATGCTTGGATATCATCAAAAAGGAAGCGATTCAGGTTATTCAAAGCTTTTTACTTAGTGACAATTCTTGCAAGTACTTTATCTTCTCACTTAGGGTCTGTTTGGGGCAGCTAACTTATCCAACTTATCTAGATCAGCAGCTTATCTTACTAAGCTGCTGATGAGCAGTTGATCCGGATAAACTGACTGACTGTTTGGTTTGAGCGTTTGGAAAATAACTGATTTACAGCTGTTTGTGGATAATGACCATTCTGCAACTGAATAAACAACTGTTTGTGGATAATGACCATTCTGCAACTGAATAAGCTTTAAGCTGATTGGTGTGTGCGGTTTGAAAACAACTGAAAATCAGTTGTTTGTGGAAAAATGACCATTTTGGCCCCGCACAGTGGTGTTGTTTGCAACAGTAATGTAATAGGAACACATCCAATATACTAAAATCCAAAAAAACATCACATGACAGTTCAAAGAAAAAAAAGATATATTCCTCACTCAAGAGTGAGTATCTACAAACTTATTAAAAAACAAAAAAAATATAACAAAATTACAACCAAAGTTATGATAATATTTATTTTAAAATATAGAAGGAGCATGTCTGGAGCAACGTTCTCCGGTTTGGATGTCGTCGAAACCCGAGCAACCGCTGTCTGGTTGAGATATTGTCGAGCTCTGATCGCTATGGGTAGTGAAATAGGTTGGAATATCTGCCTATCTGAAGAACTGACACCTGCTTGGACTGTTTGCCCTCCGTGGCACCTGTAGAACCGCCGTTCGCAGCTATGTGGCTGGTGCGATGTGAGCAACACAGTAGGCAATCCGCAGCGGCAAAACACTAACCCAGAGTTCCCTGAAAACTTTGAGCTCTTTTTTCTATAAAAAATGCAAAAATAGATATTGTTAGTGATAAGAGAAGTTGTTTTGAAATAAAAAAAATGCAAAAGATAGAATTTGAAAAGCACTAGCCAAAAGCTTTCTTCGTTTCAAAACCTGTAAAAGTTGGTTCTGAATTTGAAAAAGAATTGGGCATCAACGCTTGTTAAGCTATTAAAAAAAATCAATAAGTTGGCGCTGCATGCCTTTGATATGCACTGGAAAGTTAGTCCGACGGAATTGGAAACCAAAACATGGACAAAATAGGTAAGAATTATGATCCAAAGTACACAAGAAATTTAACAAAATTAACCTTTGAAACTACAAAACAAGACAAGGAACTTATAAAAAATTTAGCTTTAAATTATAAACTGGACAAGTTGGAAATATTTAAAATAGTCACAAATACAATAATAAATGTGCTTCTTTCAGAAGTGTGGCAACAATGGGAAGCCTCCACAACAAAAGGCCCCCTAGAAATTCTTCAAAAAGTAGTAAGATCACAGAACACTAACCTTATGATGAAATAATTCATTTTTTGAAAAATAAGAATGTCAGCAAAACAAAATATGTAGGATTTGAGAATAATTCATTTTTTGAAAAATAAGAATGTCAGCAAAACAAAATATGTAGGAACTGAGAATAATCTGAATATTATGTCCGGTAAAGTAGCCTTGCTCCGACATTACAAATTATAAGCAAATTAACACGGGAAAGTGAAAAAGAAAACTGACACTGGCTAAAATTTTCTGGAGTGCTCAGTAATCTTCCATGACATTCCACTTCGAGCCCTTGCAAAAATTTTTGTGGCCATTAAAGTCAATTTTGGCGAAGAATGAAAGAACAATCCTCTTGGTGTGTCATCATAACAACTTCGAATTAGTCATTTTTGGAGTGTTGCTGATAGATTTATTTCATGGGCTCTCTGCATACTATCTGTTTTATGATATTGCGTGTTCTGGTGGTGTTATTCATGGTTTCCACTTGCATTGTGGTGGTATTATTGACAAATTCTCTTCCCGGGCTCTCTGTATACTGTTTAGTTGTATCCCGCATTTTGGTGGTGTTATTCGTGGCTTGTTGGCTGGTGGTATCACTCTGTGTTTTGATGGTGTTTTTGGTGGCTTTATCCCGCTTTATGGTGGAGTTATTGATGGTGGTATTCTTTATTTTTTTGGTGTTATTAACGAGTTTATACCTCGTGCTCACTTCAAATTGTCTGGCGGTATTATTCTGTGCTTGGATGGTATTATTGCTAGTTGTATCCCAAGTTTTGGTGGTGTTATCCATGATTTATTTTCGACTTTTTGCTAAGGCCGAAGCTTTATACTGGTGGAAAAATGAATGTTGGGTCTCTATTCAATGCCTTCTCTTTTTTCGAACATAGCCTTAGATTTCTTAGTTTTTTCATTGTCTTCCTTCATTGGATCTCTAACTTTATTATTGTTTTTTTGGGTATACATGTAACTAATCTTCAGAGACTTGGGTGTGAGTTGTGTTGCAGATGTAGAGCCCCTAGGGGCGATAATGTATTTTTTTCCTTTATTAGTGGGATCCTCAAATCCACTTATTTTGTGCACCTTTTTGACATTATATAATATTGCATACGGGCTTTTATAGTAGAGAGAGAGAGAGAGAGAGAGAGAGAGACACACACACACACACACA